TCACCAAAAAGGATCCCCTCAACACCTTGGCTGCTCCTAGAAATTCTGTCCATAAAAGTTATGAACAGAATCAGTGACAAAGGGCAACCTTGGCAGAGCCCAACCCTCACCGGAAACGAATCCGACTTACTGCTGGCAATGCGAACCAAGCTCTGGCACCGGTCATACAGGGACCTATCAGCCCATATCAATGGGCCTGGTACCCCATACTCCTGGAGTACCCCCCACTGGAGTCCCCAAGGGACGAACGCCTTCTCCAAGTCCACAAAACACATGTAGACTAGTTGGGCGAACTCCCATGTACCCTCCAGGATGCTGCTGAGGATGAAGAGCTGGTCTGCTGTTCCACAACCAGGACCAAAACCACACTGCTCTTCCTGAATCTGAGATTCAACTATCTGATGGACCCTCCTCTCCAGAACCCCTGAATAGACCTTACCAGGGATGCTCAGAAGTGTGATCCCCCTATAGTTGGAACACACTCTGCTGTCCCCCTTTTTAAACAGAGGGACCACCACCCCGGTCTGCCAATCCAGAGGAACTGCCCCCGATGTCCATGCGATATTGTAGAGTCGCGTCAACCAATGCAACCCCATAACATCCAGAGCCTTAAGGAACTCCAGGTGAATCTCATCCACCCCCGGCGCCCTGCCACCGAGGAGCTTTTTAACCACCTCAGTGACCTCAGCACCGGAGACTGGAGAGTCCAACCCAGGGTCCTCAGGCTCTGCTTCCTCATGGGAAGACATGTCGTTAGAATTGAGGAGGTCTTCGAAGTATTCCGCCCACCAACCCACAACGTCCCGATTTGAGGTCAGCAGCGCACCATCCCCACCATAAATAGTGTTGGAGGCAAACCGTCCCGAAGACGCCAGATGGTGGACCAGCCATATGGGAAGTCCACATTTCAAAATAAAAGTGCTTAGCTTAGGACAGGACAATTTCAGCACAAAATATTGCAAAATAAAATATGGTTTCTGATTCACCAAGACTGGCTTGTGATTATTTACAACTGTCTTTACACTAATCAATTGTTACTTTGACAATTTCATATTTCTTCCAGTTTCAATAAATTAAACCTTAGATTCAGGAAGCCATGTTTGTAGCTCAGATGTTTGATTTATGATTTCTGAAGTCGGCGCCACCAAGAGCGGTAAGTTATATCACATAATAATTACACATTACTTAACTACTATCAGGATTTCAGGTTTTAAGTCAAAGATGAGCAGGTTTAACAGACAAACAGACATGGAGACCAGATAAAAGGTAAGTGTTATTTTATTTACAATTGGTGGGGATATGTACAGGGGATCCAGGCT